TTTAAATCATATTAGAGGAAAAGTCAACTCTAAATTAACCAATTTATAATATACTCAAAATAGAGTCAAAAATCGATAGTTAGCAATATCTCGGATTTCAGTAAAACTCACTCATTTCTAATGCAATAGTTTCACTTAGTTGTACTCATACTAATAAAGTGAAAATTTCACTCAAGCCGGTATGGACAGAAATTGATACATTATTGAGTAAAATTGAGTGAAATTTGAGTGAATTTTTTTTTAGTTCTTATTTCCTATTACCAATTATAAATTGATATTGAGATAAATTAAATGATGCAGATTAAGACTACAATAGACATATTTTTTAACACAATAATTCCTAATTAATTTTTCCAAAAATAAATGTTTCCCTAAGACAATTGCAGCAGGTCATGGATTACCAATAATTCATTGTAACTGGTTCAACAAGTACACCTAGAAGAACACATAAAACAAATCTACTCGAACTGTACGCCTGAAAAAAAAAATTAAAATTGTGCCTTGGTTCTCAATAGGCCACACAGGCAAATGAAACTTCAGCAATAATAAAGTCTTTTGAGGATTAATCACTTCTGATGGTTTTAAGAATGGATGGTTCTTTGGATGGCCTCATTTCTATTTTGGTGCTGATAAAAGAATAAACAAAATAACTTCTGCGCCGAAATCAGGGGTTAGTTTTTTTTCCTATGCATTCATTCTTGCTTAATGAAAGTCCCACACTGAGAAGGTAAAATAAGTTTGACGCAAAACAAACACCTTAAATATAAGTGATGTGTTTATTTGCGTCATTCCTTACATTCACTCTCAGTGTGGGACCTCCCATTAGGCAATAAAAAGTTTATAAAAAAAACTAACTGATGACTGTTCCTTTCGACGCAGAGGGCTTTTATTTAGATATATTTATTTTCCCCAGCAGTGGGCAAAATGTCTAATAAAATTACGAATTCTAGAGGATTTTATGTAAGTTGAAACGGCAGTTTATGAAATCATTTGCTGGCTGGCTACGTGTACTTCTCATTTTTAACTTGAAAGCCTGGTTTCTTGGGCGATGAAGACCACCTAGCGAGAGGGGTGTCGTGGTCGGTTAGTTCCCGTCTAACCCAATAAATATACGTGAATTACATTCAGCGAATGCATTGCCGAGTACGCAATTTCAATGTCGGGCAGCTAGCGAGACTTTATGGAACTCAGAGAGCGGAACAACAACCGTACGCAAACGAAAACCGTAGGCAATAAGAACAAGTCGGCGCTAGGTGCGATAATGAAACCAGTATGTCTGGATTTTGAAAGGACGCGTTTTATTTATTTAGCCGGGTACAAGGGATCCCTACTGACAAGCCATTTGTTTTCTTTCTGTGCGAGGACTTTTCCCGCGCGTTCTCTCGACAAAACTAATGAGGTATCGGTCTGATATAAAGCTACCAGGACTTAAAAATCGTTACGAACTCATAATTATTGCCTTGCTTCAAAAGAATCAATGTGCACTCGCGTATATTTCTGCGGTAACGGCATTTTGTCTACATTCGCCGTATATAACAGCATATCCATTTGTCATGGATGTAACTATGAGCCGTTGTAATAAACACTAGTCATTTGTTAAAATAATTATTAATAATTAAAATTTCCAGTAGTACATTTAATGCCGAAGCGAAACACAGTCATCAAATTAAATATTAATAGTAACAGTTGGCAATAAACGACTAGGTTTTCCTTATAAAATCATCACCTCACAGTTTTAAAGCCGATTCTAGTGGTTTTTATCAAAATTACCCCAAAAGTCAAATCCAAGGTCATCAAGTGGTGGTACCAATGATCCAAACAACTTTTATATATATTATATTTTTCTGGTGTCTTACTATCCTGACGAAGTAGCAACCTGAGAATTTCGAGAGGAAGATTTCACCTTCAAATGATTTTGAAAATGAAAAATTAAGAAAATAACCACGACGAGATTTCTAGCTTTTTCAGAGTCTAGGGTCAGAAATTGTATTACAAGTATTACAATAAGAAAACAAGAGTTGACATTCAAATAACCTTGAATATGAGCTAACTTCGTCAAAATGACAGCGGATTCGGATTCAGCGATCGCAAGAACGTATGTGTATGGTGGTCTAGTCTATCACACATTAATTTTTTTACCGTGGGTCTGTGTTATGAATTAGTCGGTACTTTTTTAAGGAAGAAAAAATTGTAAAGCATTAATCAAGCTACTTGTAGTATTAATTTTAATTCGGATTTCACTAGTTGTGTTAAGCTTCAACTTTTTGGTTCTATCTCAAATAATTTGAGTAATACTATCGAGCGATCCAGAATGATTGAAACTGACGTTATACGTAAATGTTACCAAAGATATTAAAATTTACTTCTATTTGATCAAAATTACTTTCCGTGTTCTTAGTATTTCGACCTTCACGATCTGTCGATTCAGAAATGCCCGTGCTTTTATTTCTGTTCAGATAGATAAATAATTGTTAAAAATCGACTCTACTTTAGTTTTGAGGTTAGTACCTACTAAAAATTTCTAAATCATTTTTATTTAATCCTTTTCTTGAACAAATTAATAAACCCCTCAAATTAATTACTGCTTCATTTTGCTTTTTGTGTTGTATTTTTATGATTAAATTGAATGTGTGACCCTATCCCCACTGCAGTTAGCCCGCCACTGAACGAAATAAATCACTGTCAGTGTTGCCAACTAGGAAGAGTAAAAATAATAGGAGAGCGACACACAAAATATTTGTAAGTACCGAGGTCATCAATCATTTCAGTTTCAGTTTTTTTAATTGTAGCTCGAAAACGAAGCAAAATTTCGCTATAGTTCATAGGAAAAATTATTTAGAGAATTGAATTTCCCATCGAAATGGCTTATTTAAAAAAATTAAAAGGAAGATTTTATGCAAAAATTCGTTAATAAACGATTTGAAAAAACCAAAAAATTCGACTTTTTGATTTTTTTTACTTTTTTGACTATAATTTCTTTTTTTTTTTAGTAGAAGTAGGCAAAGGAAATTGCTGTACAAAAAAAACTAGATGAAATTCCCTTCAAAATGATGCGTTTTCAACAGTTTTTGAACTAATATTGATTGAGTTATAACCGGTTAACTTCAATATTTTTTAGATTTTCGTCGTTTTTAAGATAATAATGATTATAATTCTTATTATTTTTACAACAAATTGGTTCTTTACTTAATAAAAAATTATTTCAAAAGTTTTATTTGTTAATAATAAATAAAGATTTTCACAACNTCACACATTAATTTTTTTACCGTGGGTCTGTGTTATGAATTAGTCGGTACTTTTTTAAGGAAGAAAAAATTGTAAAGCATTAATCAAGCTACTTGTAGTATTAATTTTAATTCGGATTTCACTAGTTGTGTTAAGCTTCAACTTTTTGGTTCTATCTCAAATAATATGAGTAATACTATCGAGCGATCCAGAATGATTGAAGCTGACGTCATAAGTAAATGTTACCAAATATATTAAAATTTACTTCTATTTGATCAAAATTACTTTCCGTGTTCTTGGTATTTCGACCTTCACGATCTGACAATTCAGAAATGCCCGTGCTTTTATTGTGTTCAGATAGACAAATAATTGTTAAAAATCGACTCAATTTTAGTTTTGAGGTTAGTAATAAAAATATCTAATCATTTTTATTTAATCCTTTTCTTTAACAAATTAATAAACCCCTCAAATTAATTAATGCTTCATTTTGCTTTTTGTGTTGTATTTTTATGATTAAATTGAATGTGTGACCCTATTTCCACTGCAGTTAGCCCGCCACTGAACGAAGTAAATCATTGTCAGTGTTGCCAGCTAGGAAGAGTAAAAATAATAGGAGAGCGGCACACAAAATATTTGTAAGTACCGAGGTCATCAATCATTTCAGTTTCAGTTTTTTAATTGTAGCTCGAAAACGAAGCAAAATTTCGCTATAGTTCATAGGAAAAATTATTTAGAGAATTGAATTTCCCATCGAAATGGCTTATTTAAAAAATTTAAAAGAAAAATTTTATGCAAAACGATTTGAAAAAAAGCAAAAAATTCGACTTTTTGATTTTTTTTACTTTGTTGACTATAATTTCTTTTTTTAGTAGAAGTAGGCAAAGGAAATTACTGTACAAAAAACTAGATGAAATTCCCTTCAAAATGATGCGTTTTCAACAGTTTTTGAACTAATATTGATTGAGTTATAACCGGTTAACTTCAATATTTTTTAGATTTTCGTCGTTTTTAAGATAATAATGATTATAATTCTTATTATTTTTACAACAAATTGGTTCTTTACTTAATAAAAAATTATTTCAAAAGTTTTATTTGTTAATAATAAATAAAAGATTTTCACAACTTACAGTCAAAAAAGTAAAAAAAAATCTAAAAATCATATTTTTTACTTTTTTTTAAATTGTTTATGAACGATTTTTTGCATAAAATTTTTCTTTTAAATTTTTTAAATAAGCTATTTCGATGGGAAATTCAATTCTCTAAATAATTTTTCTTATGAACTATAGCGAAATTTTGCTTCGTTTTCGAGCTACAATTAAAACACTGAAAGGGGTGCATTTTCACCCCTCTAATTTAATAGCACTCAGCGGGTTTTTCATCTAAAATGACCCTTTGAACAATTCATGCAATAAAATTGCTTGTAAGTAATCCACCTTAAAGAAAAGTTGAACCTAGAACTGACAATTTTACTAGAACATCTACAACCGACCGCATGTAAAGCCAGTCCCCAGATGCCGGCGTGTTTGGCAAACATTTGCCGCTGTGCGTGTTTGCCAACGGATCTGAGAAGTGTACACATACCGAGCAAGCGCAGTTATTCGTCAGTTGTCGTTTCCCGACGACTGTCGATGGTTCCGAGACAAGTCCAAGGCATCGCCAATAATTGTGACTTGTAATCGGGCCGACTTGTATCGCTCCCAGCACGTATATACTTAAAAAAAAGTGAAATACGTTCTAGCCTACGTTCATCAAGTAACGAAATTATTCTAACAAGGATGGAATGGTCGGCCGAATTAACGCTAGAGTTCTTAGAGTTATACGAACGTGAGGCTTGCATTTGGAACCCGAGAGACCCTCTGCATAAGAACAGAATCGCGGTGAGCGACGCTTGGAAGCGAATCGAATACAGTCTGAGCGTTGAGGTGTCTGTGCCGGAATTAAAAAAGAAAAAGGAGTCTCTGATGGCGACTTTCCGGCCCATAATGCAGAAAGTGATAGCGAGCCAGAAAAGCGGCGGCGGCCCCGATGATGTATACAAATCGAACTGGTTTGCTTTCGACGCCATGTTCAAGTTTCTGCAAGGGATTTACCAGCCAAAATCAGGTTTGAATGCAGAGGTAAGTTTTATTTGCAGATTTAGTGAAATAACTGTTGCCCACTTAATTTCCCAAGTATTACAAAACAATGTGTAAACTGTTTCTTCCACTTCTTCGCAAATATACTTGTTAATGAACTTATGTCAAAAATTTAAAGGGCTGAAAAAGGAAGAAAAACTGAGTTAACCGATGTCGCAAACTTGTATTGGGAGTTTAAGGTCATAGTTCGTGACATCGACCAATTGTGACATCGTATTACGATTCGAGAGGACGTGGCAATATTACAACGCGTGCGAGTGAATTGGATACGTCGCGCTGAAGCTTGTGTGCAAGCAAATGGAGGGTACATCGAACTTCTTCTATGAAAATCAGCAGGTTTTCATAAGGTGGCCCCTTGCAATGTTGAGGTAAGACAGATTTTAAAATTACATTATACTGTATTTTGACATACGGACATGTGGAAAAATAATTGACATAAGTTCATTAACACCCTGTTTAATGGTGTATTGGGTGCGTCCATTTTTCTCGATATTGTGAAATAAAATAGGATGCTGAAAAGCACCACCATCACTAATTATTCTTTGAGTGCCCTCACCACCAAGATAGTTATAGTTTGCATCAACCAATGCTATTAATATTATGTTAAATGTCACAGTTTGGAAAGTTCCTTTGTCGTTCAAAACGTTAAACCAAAATATCTTATATAAAAATAATTCTTTAAATTTAACAATGCTTACTTCAATATTTACTACTCGAAATATTATTCTTATTTGACTTAAAGAATCATATTTTCTGTACACAGAAGCCTTGGCAAAACCAGAGGTTCCCAAAACGTAAGTTTTTCAGGTCGGGAATAATTAAAAAAAATTTCAGTTGCAGGAACCTGCGAATACCAAGCAAGAGCTAAACGAAGAAAGCGAAACAGTCGAGGATATCGCATACACTGAAGGCCATGCAGATAACAGAACGTTCGCTACCTCCACAATAATGCCAAGGAAGAAAAAGAGAAAGATTGACGTAATCGAAAGTCGCATACCAGAAGCATCATCAGAAAAGCCAAAAGGAAAAGACATATGCGCGCATTACGGGGAGCTACTTGCGGCAAATTTGAGAACCTTCGATGAATGCGCTCGTGACATTCTTATGAATGACATAGACAATTTAGTCTTTCGTGCAAAAATGGAATCTAGAAAACAGGCTACTGGGCAACATTCTACGTCGACAAGTGATCGGTCTACACATTTATATTCACAGCAGCCATCATCGATCCCTTCTTCGTCATTACTACGTTCGCCAGAAAATCATGAACTCGCGCAGGATTCTGACTCAAACAGTTCACGATCTCGAGACTCGCCCCAGTTCACTTACATCCATTTTAACGAAACCGAAGACGATAAAAATTTTTCGTAATAGAATGTTTAACCTTTTTAATTTCATTTTTCATTGTATTTATAATTAAAGCATCATATTTAAATTTATTCATAGTTATCCAATTAAACAGCTTAATCTTAATATACTGTTTACCATTATTTTTTCCTCCAGCACCTTGATCGGAGCATCAGAATAAGCTTATTTGAAAACTTGAGTAAGACAAACTCGTAAATCTGTCTCCGGTTGTCAAAAACCTCAATGTCACAATCAATGACTGATCAGCATGTCAACCGCTTGTGTATACGCATTTTTTATAAATATAAAAAGCAGTACACTGTAGAACTTGCTAGAAGAGTTGACTTCTTTTCTTTTATGTGTATTTATTTACCGTCCTTTGACTCAATCGTCACATATTCGATACTATTCACCTGTTGAACAGTCCAAAAGGTGTGTTGTTTGTGTAGCACTGGTGAATATTCGACGTGCCTTCGAATGTATCGATATGCACCATCCACATGATACGGCATCTGTTTGCGACTCTAACACTCTATTTAATTGTCATTATTTAAACAGATATACTGTATCCAACTTTCTAGCCAGTTCAATATAATGACTGTTTCCCTTTATAGTAAAAATAGCTAAATAGTCACTTAACTATATTCTGGTGTACAAATAACATTATTTAAATCTATATCAAGTAGGAAGTATATTGGAAGCTCGTTTTTCTAGCCTCACTGCGAAGATCTTGATTATTTTAAGAAGTACAGTTAGGTCAAAGTATATTCCCCAAATCAGGTATTGAATTGTCTTTATCATGGCAATGTTGTATCTTTTATTTACATGGCCTACTATTAAAGTTACATTGACCTACGTTTCGAATCTGATGAAAAGTTGCACCGATATAGATTTTTATAGATTTACTTTATTTGAAAGCTTAAAAGCCCAATTTATATTCTGTAACAAAAAAAGCGAACGAGGATATACTTCTTTGGATCGAAAATGGTACGGCCTTTCTTCCAATTAACAAAATCTACTTGATCGATCTAACAGAACGCTGCAACAAGAAAAAAAGGCCATAAAGTGCGGGAACGGCCATTTCTGGATATTCAATCCGATCGAGACTAAGCCATATTAATAAACACTTCACCGGATTTATGTCACCTCGTAAACATTTCAGGTTTACCGCATTAAAAAAAATATATACAACCCGTCGAGGAAGGCTTGTATTAGGTTACATAATGGTTTGGCGCAAGAAGTCATCGGCCGCGTTCTTTTAACTGACAGCAACTTTTGGGGAGGTTTTGATATTGTCACATCAACAACAGTTGGCAAGCGGAAGATAGAGGCTTCCATTTTTTTTGACAATTTAATAAGAGTTGCGTCTTACGGAAACTCTTTTTAATTTTCTTATATTTCCCATTAGTATGATCGTAAGAACGAAACTGAGTGTTACACGTCAAGTATTTTCAACATAACATCGAATGTTTATAATTCTTCAATTCCTTTCTTTTATTTTAGTTTTGAAAATACTTCTGAGCGCACGTATATATGAGCTGCCTGTTAAAAAACAAGATCACGAAGGATTACCTGAATTTTGTTCAGTTAAATTTTTATTGACAATTTCATAATTAATTAAATCGCAAAATCAGATCGTTCCAGATTTAACTGAATTGTCAGAATTTTGTTTGCAGTAACAGTTGGATCTTTTGTTTCCAAAGCATTCCATACAAAATATTAATCTGCAAAAGGCGAGAGACTAATGAAAATGACATTAGCAAATTAAGATAATATTATTTTAGTTTGGTACGAATAATTTTGGCAGAACTGCGAGCTCACGAATACAACAATAATTTTCGTTAGAATATGGGAATGTTCTCAGCTGCTTTTAATTTTCTAATTTGCCGAGCCAGCGCACAATCATAATGTTAGTTCTGGGGTGGCTGTGAAATAATTATACCGATATACGGGGTGTTAGGAATTTGACTGCCTTAATTTTAACAGGCGATAGAATATATTAAAATAAACAAAAAAACCTTATGGGTCCTAAACTCAACCATTTCCGAGAAAAAGATTATGAAATTCTCCAACAGGTCTATTAATTAAGGAATACTGACAATACAATGTTTATCACTTTTTTTAACTTCTTCATGCTTAATTCTAAAAAAATAAATTTGTAATGTCCAGCATTACGCAATTCAGTTGGTATCTGGAATTGGACCGTGTCTGAGTGTTTTTTGCGTACCACTATTTCCTTTTCTTGAGGTGTTTTCCAGCGAATGCGCAAAAATTAGATTCGAAGGTGTCGTGCGTGCATTGAAAATGGTGGTGGACATTTTGAACATATATTGTAGTTTGTTTTATACTTGTGCGTTTAAAAATTACTGAATTTTGCTTTTTGGTAAGTACATAAATTATTTTTATTTACATTTTTTCCGTAGGACAAGTCCGCCGCGTGCACACGTGGTATGCACCAGCTGTGTAGCGTTAGGTTAAGCGCTGCTGTCACGTTGTGATGAAACTCCCCAATATTAATACTCGCTGTATTTTGAAAACTGTTAATCTTACGCCCCTGAAATATACAACTTTTTTGTTCATGATTACTCACGCTGAAGTAATGTGGCAGTCAAACTTCTTACACCCTGTATATACAACTCAGTTTTCAGTTCTCTACATATCGTTTATTTTCCCAAATTTAGTATTCGACTAGAACAAAAAACAAAACTTTTTTTACTGCCACTTACTAACTTCATTCTGAAATTAAATTTAAAATTTGTATGGTTTAGAAATTAACTATGAATCTTTGATAGGTATTAAGCTGAGTTAATTAAGTGTTTTAATTAAAGTTTAAATCTTAGTTTCTCTCTCTCTCTCTCTCTCTCTCTCTCTCTGTGTATTCGGTACTTTGGATCGAGATAATCCATCTTATTGCAACAGCATCGTTTTCTCCTGACAAAAAATAGGCTCTAACCATATCAACCCTTTCTTGATTCATGTGTATGCATAAAAAATATCTCTAGTATATTTTTTTCTAAAATTGAATACTCTGAAATTAAGCCGAGGAACTTTTTTTTCGTATAATTAACTGAGAAACTACCCTTCTTAATAACAAAAAAAAGTAATATGTTTATTCTTTTTACGATTGTGATTTTAACTATTTTCATAGTATAACAATTCTTTTACATATTATTGAGTCATTAGCAAAAACAAATAATATGAAAGATCTCATATAACAGAAGCTAAAATTACAAAATAAATTATTACCTAGTCACAGACTCACATATTACTTAACACAAGTCACAGACAGCTGTATATAAATAGACCCCTGCAAATTATGTCGCGCTGGGGCACTTAACTGAGCTATTATTTACATAACTGACCTTTCCTGTCAAAAAAGTTTATTAAACATCAGTTTATAAATAGAATTCTGTCTGCAAACGACAAATAGTTATCATCGACTATTAGTACGGCAATAAAACTGTCTACTAGGTTAAGTAGCACGACGAACTTTTTTCAGCGGTGCCGATTACTCGTTTCAGTGGTATGTCCATGAAAATGTTTCCATCGTCATTATTTCGTTATACAGTTATATTCGATGACCGGAAAGTTGTTTTTAAATCCTCCTCGAAATAAGAACAAAAATCCCGCAAATTGAAATTCAGAAAATGCCTAATTTCAGTGAGTGTACAATGTTTAACTTGCAATTCCCAAAAATGTTTTTTAAATGAGCCTAAGGGTAAAGAAATGAAACATTGCAGACATATTTTACTTCGCAAAAGACTATATAGATCGATGTTTCTAAATCCGGCTCCACATGACCCAGTCACATGCGAAACATT